AATCACTCTCATCAGTCAGATGTGAAATTAAGTAGCTAGAGTATAGTGCAAAGGTCGAATAGAATTATTCTGAATTTTGAGAGTAGTCCATATTTGTACCATACTACATGTCAGAATTTACATCTAGCAGCTAAGATTGATAGTGACCTCCTTGTACAAAAAATAAATGGTCTTATTGTATACTTAATTATGAAAGGGTAGAATTGGAGAATCATTAAATAATGAAGTAGAGAAAATAATAAAGGAAAATCATAATTAACTAAGAAAATTAACAAAGGAAAATAGGAATAACAGATCTAATGAAGAAAATAAAATTACATAACTAAGAAAAACAATAAAGCATATCAAATAATAAAGACAAAAATAGAAAAAGAGAGGAAGAACCTGGAATGCTGCGACCATAGGCCTGGCACCCAGAGTTGGGTCCGGATTAGATAGCGAAGATGAGTCCTTACTCCTCGATCTTCAAGTTGATCATCTTGATTGAACGAAAGTACCCCGAGGATGAGTGGCTCCTAGGAACCCTTACATCTAGCGCTCTTGATTGACTGAAAACGACTTATTTAATTTATGAGGCTGCTCCAGGGTCTTAGAACTAGGGTTTGGAGACCAAGGTCTAGGATTTGAGGGCTACAGGGTCTCTATAATTTTAGGGTTAGGGTTTTTGATAGGGTTTCTCCCTACTGGAATGACTTGAAAATTTATGTATAGAGGCAAAATACACTCCAAAATAGGAAGGCGGTGGTCCGAACCATTACGAAGGTGCCACATAATCCGCACTGCATTTTCAATGCATGCCTTCTACCCTTTGCACCACATATTGTAGCATCCTGCTTAGGAAGGTCTGAACGACATTTCTGCCCAGATACAGGAGATCTTGTACTGATACACAAATTCCTCCATCGTGTGATGTACTGGGTGCGGGATTCATCTTCCATTTGTTAGGGGATTCATCTTCCCTTCGTTGTGTTGTGATGAGCTCTATAGCTGGGACATCCGTCTGAGTGCTATAGAAACACGAGTAAAACAACTCCTCCATTTGTTCCCATGAGTTGACCGAATTCGGGGGCAGTCGGGGAATATCAGGAATACCAAGAGAAGGCCGCACTTGTTAATGACCGGATGAATTGATGTAATAGCAACCGTTTGTCCGAGGCTCTAGAAGTAAAGTCGGCTATGAATGAGAAACATGTTCTTGTGGGGAACCAGTCCCCTGTAAATTTTCGAAGGTCGGGAGTTGATACCTTGGAGGGAACGACATATCATCCATACAAGACAAGTACAACTTCTGATAAATTTCCAGCAGTCTGGATCCTTGGACTTGTATGGATTGGATATCAGTTGCAGTCACAGTGGGTGAGCTAGACGCAGGTGCAGTGACTTGCATGGCTGCCTGTGCAACCAGGGTTGAAGCTCCCATAAGGAGCACGGATTATCACATATGCATATGGTTAAAGCTAATCATGCTTAACATAGATGTCAAAAACTTGAAAATATATGGTTATTATGAAATAAATAAGATGTTGCTTGACTAAGTGGGAAGTGGTTGTGGCGAGGTCATCATCAAGTATGCTGTTTCCTCAAAAGTATTTTAAAAACCGCACAAGCTGCCAAAAAATTGAACACGTGGCAAAAATTGAACACATGGCAGCTTTTTGTTGGGAGCTGGCCAGATCTTTTTTTTCTGTGAAACTGGATGGGTATGGAGGATACCCGATCCGGATCGCTCGATCCCGGATCGGGACACTGATTTTTAAAACACAGGTTCTGACTTCTATATATAATAAAACTTACAAATTATATGCAAAATCTCAAATAGCACAGTGGCAGATTTTACCTTCTTAAGAGGTCCAAGGACCAATTCCTAGTAGATTCATTTTTGGTTTCCAAGACAGGATGACGGTTGATACTTAAAAGAGTGTCTTTCATTTAGCCGCACACTTATAGATGAAGTGCCAGCCCATATAGATGAAGTGTCCGTCGATGTTGGGTAGTTTCAACACATGTCACCAAGCCAAAAAAAAATGTCTAGGAACCTTGTCTATTGGGATCACAAAATTTCACATATGACCTAACACTACAACAACGATTGCATATTTAATATCTACAAGGAAGTTTTATATTCCTTCCAAGTATTTAACTCATCCCTCTAAATTCATGGCTACAATAACCATAAGCATATGAAGACACTTAATATAAATCATTGAGATACCACTCAGGCTCTGTGAAATTCAAATTTGCAACTAGATTTAAAGATTTTCCTCGTATTCTTGTTTTGCTTCCAACAGCATTTTAACCAGGAGGTATGAGCGTGCAGTTCCATACACATTATTGTTTTTGAGGGGAAGAATTTCCTTTCATAACCAGTAGTCCGCTACCGAGACAAAGCCACTTTATATGTGGGAGTGCCAGTAGAAGATAGGAACACATGAAGCTTAGTAAAGGACCCATAAAAGACACTGTGATGACAAATGGTGACAAATTGACTTTTGACAGGTTCTGCCAACAAGGATAACATATGGCAGAGGGCTGCTTTACACCAGCCACAGCCTATGAGGTCATTCCATCCCTGCATGAACAATATAGCTCTTTCGGAAGACCACAGACTGAAAGGAGAGAAGGAAGGATGGCACTTAAGAGTTGTAACACAAACTCAAAATAGGATACAAAGACAGCAATCTATACAGTGATGTATATACTCGAGACCCATTCAATAATCATCATAACCAAGAAAATGGCAAAGATTCATGTCAGATTAAGTCAGAGAAGAAAGTAAGACAAGTGACCAAGCTAATAATCAGCTAGTCCAGTGATTGTGTTGTAGTTTCACATATTGGAAGGAGTATCCAAAATTGTCGATGAAAGCAGTTTACATCAAAAACTTTGAAAACATAACCTCAAACCATTTTGGTGCCCTCAAACTGACAAAGAGATCTAACTATTTCACTTCTCATAACTCAATTCATTCAAACATCCCATTTTGCAATGGATTATGAGGAGAAAAAATCATTGATGAGTATTCCTCATCTCTCTAAAAAAGACAAAAATGTAAACAAAGTATGTATTTACTAGGTGAACCAGAGTGAATCATTTACTTTGATTCAATGCAGAATTCACACAAAAGATTAAGACGGATGTGAGATTTCAAAATGTATCAGATTTCAAATGCATGCATAGTATTTAAGTACAGTCCTGATATGCAGCATAGTTATTGTCTCCCTCACAAAACAAGACAAATTCCAAAACTCAAACTCACAAGATTAAAGAGAAATGCTTCTATGTAGGAATAAATGGAAAGACATGCCTAAATCCATTATTAGGGAACAGGAGGGAGAGCTTGGGTTCAAGAACTGTTGTAACGGCATTGTGGCACCAGAGAAAGCAGAGGAGTGAAGAAGATGGCAAGAGAGAGGAAGCCACATAAGAAGGTTGTAGGGAGATACAGAGGGATGGATGGAATGATAGGAGAAGCTATTTTGGTAGAAGAGGCCTTAAACCAGTTTGAGAAACTTCAAGGAGTGGATACGAAATAACATGGACACAATCTTTTCAGAATCGAATGCCAGAATTCCATAGTGTATTCAACTGAAGTGCCTTGCCAAGAGTCTCTCTGGTGAGGATACATGGCATCTGATGGATCTCAGTGATACATTAAGAAGCCATCTTTAGTAAGACAATAGATCATGGACTACCCAAAGAAGATACCATGAAAATTCAAGTCCTTTCCTGTCCATGTGCCTCAACAGCTCTCTGGGGAAAGGACCACCAGGTCTGGGCTGACAGAGGAGCTGATTTAGATGTGCACATGGAGCTTTGGCTAGAACATCTCTCTTCTTTGAGGCACCAGTATAGGTTGGGGAGGTGGCATGATTCATTTGGAGAATGGAGATCAGCCCACTTGGGAGATTGCCTATTGTGCAGTGCTTTTTCTTTCACATGCTGATTGGTATGTATAGTAGGAAGGAATGGAACCTGAGATGTCCCTTTGCGGCTTTGCCACCCTTTCCACCCAGGCCTCAGGCTCATTGCTCTATTGTGCACATAGTTGACGATAGTGTTTAGTTGTTTAGCTGCAGGAACTGGCTTTGGAAGTTATGGAAGACTTTGTGCAGGAGTTTCCCAAAGAGGAAAATGATTCATTAGATATTATGGATGAATAAATATGAAAGACACCTCCAAAATATCATGGATAGGACTACACGGTGAGATGGGGCAATCCCTAGTGGAGGTTCTTAGCGGTGCACCACAGGGACCACACACTACGTAAAAGTACAGTATTGGGTACTTGTACCCAATATCCACTTCGTCAAGATATTCCCAGATGGTGGAGATTAGTAACTGTTCCTGCTTAAAACACACATGGCCTTAAAATCGGAAAACAAGATGTTGGGTACCAGTACTGAACACCCCACACTCCTCCAAAGTATAGTATATTCTCCGGTGCACCCTAGGAGAGTGTGGATAATGTTCAGAGAGCCCCAAAATGGCATGAACTCCAGAACTAGATGAGAGAGATAGAGGCAAAGATCATTGAGATTAGGAGAGCTTTTAAAGCTCTCTCTTGAAGGCGAGAAGAAGGCTATTGAATCATTTGGACAATGGGAAAGCTATGAACATTATAAGGACCTGTAGGCATTATAGAGAGGAGTAAAGAAACAGTAAAATGAATTAGAAAGATGAGAACTTAGGCATCCTTTAGTAATATATCAGGCTGTAAGCATTGCATTGCTATCTTTAATTAAGCCATATACATCAACTGCAGCCTCATTTAAATGAAGCTGACAATATCAGTAATAAGAGAAACACACATCTACTTCTGACTACTGCTTAGAGTCTTGAAAACTTTGTAAAGAGTTCATATGAAGCACGAAGCCATATTTTCAGAGGTGAACCCTGGAGGAAAATGACATGCATCCCACACAGGTAGAAATGGTAGAACTCTACATGTTTCTAACATACAGCAAGAGAAGGTAGTACTTCAAAGAAAGCATTGACACCACTTGAGAGAAAGGAACGATCGATACATATAGAGCATTATTCATGGAATCAATAAGCAAACATTCTCCAATGAGTACAAAAAAAGAAATTCAACCCACAACCCTAACTTATGAACAACAAAGCATTCATTTATTGAGTACAAAGAATCCCAACATAGTACTACTGCACATAAATGCCATCAAAGAAGAAGACCAATACAAACTCTACTACAGTGAACTGGTACCACTGCTTGGTGCCGCACGCCCCATAAAAATACCTTGATTCTCATCATTAAAATCCATCAGAACTAGAGTTTCCTCTACCTTGCAGCATCAAATTATTACCTGTGGAAAATGGAGGGAATGAAAATAGACTATCTGAAATCTCTAACACAGAGGGATTCATTGGATTAGCATCATGCCAATTGTCTTCTCCCCCAAAGCTTATATCATCCCTTGCTGAACGACCCATAATGGCATCACTAATTTCATTTCCACCTCCATCCTTGAAATTCGATGAAGAAGAATAAATGTCACAAAAGCCCCTTTGCCCAGACACTAGAGCATGCTCACCCTCATTCAAGGCCTGGGATCCTTTCATTTCATTAAGGGGGAGAGCAGGCATGTGACCTTGGAATAGAGCGACATGTCCAAAAAGCTTATCCTTTCTCGAAAAGGTAGTGCCACATGAACATTGCCACTTATCACGCCCACAATGCTTCTCATGAGTTTTGAGATCAGCAAGCACAGAGAACTTCTTGTTATGGCATCTACTGCAAGTATAGCTCTTATCACAGTGGCTCCTCTTGTAGTGGTTCTTCATGCAAAGGAATGTTTTAAGGGGCTGAAACTTCTTGTGGCTCTTATTTCTCTTACAACCCACAAAGGGGCAGGAATACTTCTTCACTATCATAGGCTCAGTAGATTGTTCCTTGTTGGGTTTTGTGAGGGCAGCAGGAGTCTTGTACTCGTCTCCATGGCCTCTCATGTGCATCCTGAGGTTTGCATCTCTCTTAAATCCCTTGCCACATATTAAACAGAAGTGGGTATTTGGGGCTAAGATCTCCTCTTTCTCAAGCTCTACTAGCTCATAAGAATCAGGAGGCAGGTTGTCTCCATCCCCATCGTCGTCATCTTCTTTTATGTCATCATAATAGTTACGGTCATCAACAGATTGGTCATTGTAATGGCTTCCCTCTCCTCGAACGTAACCCATGGGATCAACTTCTTTAACATCCACGATTTCTTCGATTCTCTCTTGTACATTAGAGAGCAGTGATTCTGATTGGTTACTATACTTTTTCTCTCTATTAAAGTTGACACCTGATTCCACTTCTTTTATGGGTTTTCCATTATTGGGAGCAGTAACAGAAGCAATTTGAGATCCAAAAGGATTACATGAAAACTCAGGTTGATTAACATTACTCCAATCGATCTTATCATCACTTCTACTCCCACTTCCTCCTTTCTTCAAATTGCTCGTTCCCATAGAAGTGGATGCAGAAGTGTTTGAAACATAAGGATTCATGGCAGCAGGTGCTACACTTGGCTGGCTCTTTTGTGTTAATGGAAGAAGATTCCCAGCAGTGGACATTAACTGAATTATGATCGAAGTTAGTTCAGCAGTTACCACTTGCTTTTGAACAGACATCTCATCGGACCAATCCAAATCATTTCTCCCCCGAATAATTGATTGAACGACGCCCTGAAGCTGGTGGATCTTTTGTTCAAGGAAGGCTAGACTGTTCAAAAGGCCTTGTGGGTCACTGAGAGCGGATGGGTGTGATTGGAATTGATCAAAAGGAGACCCATCATATCCTAGGGTTTCAGAATTGAACTGGTTTTCACCACCCCTTCGTGGGTTTTGCTCAGGAGATGATAAGAACCGACCAGGGGAGAAGCCCATTGGTGTGAAATCATTAAAACTGTAATCATGGAACTGCTGCTCCATGGATGGAGTTTCTACAAATTCAGTTCCCATAGAGGATAGACAAGAATCATAAGATGATTTCTTTTTAGCACCCATTCAACCCCACCTCAAATCCAAAGTTGCAAAGCTAGAAATGAGAAAAGAGCAAAAGAGAATACAAGCTCAAAACCCCAGATTCAATACCCACAATCAGGATTCAAGCAAACAATAGGTTCAATAAGCAGATGGGCAAAGAAAAACTCTCACTGATTTTGTGCCATTCTCTCTAGAGAGAGATGGTTTCTTTTGAAAGAAAAAATAACTTCTGTAAGAGAGATTAGGCACAGGTTTTATCTCTTGAAAAGACACAAAACCAATCTTTCTTATCAGAAGAACTTCAATAAGTAAGAGAGAAATCAGACTTACAGAGACAGGAGAAGATGGGATACATTTCTTTGTTTTGTTGATCCTCTGGCCTTGATTGATGAAGAGAGAGAAGAAAAGGGGCACACCCACCATGAGTGAGAAATTGAATAATAAGATAATGGGGCATCTCTGGCTCAACATTTTGAGGCCTTTGTTTATTTACTCCCATAAACTGGTTTCCATGAACGAGGACAAACCCATTCAAAGTCGACTACTCAGAGCGTTCTTTTATAATATTAAAGTTTTAAATCACTGTGCCTTTGCTTGCATGCACGATCACCCATTGACTGGATGCATCCATTTTATGCGAATATTTGGCCGAAATTTCAGCTCAAACTGAAAATTTGGGGGTGTCGAACACCATCGATAATTACAATTCAAGCATTAGAACATATTAGTTGCCAAAAAAATTACCATTTTGAGCTCCCAAAATTGTAATAAGTTGTCCGGTCTCTAAAAATAAGTGTTGATAGATCCGTAAGTTATGTTATTTTTTTAGTTTTAAATTTTATTATTGGTGTTGAAAGTGATTTAGATCCATCATGGAGAAATTTTAGAACCATCATAGAGATTTGTGTTGCCGAAAGTGTTTTGTAGATGAGGATTTGAGGTGAAGCTTTATTTTGTTTTTAAAAGTTAGGCTTCATAGAAATTTCATCCGTCAAACAAAGAGCAAATTGAAAACTTTTTGTACTTCCCCACCCTGAATGTCTTACGTACTTCTTTTATCCAACGGTCTAATTTAAATGGAGATGTTTTTTTGTTACATTAATGGGGATTATTCGTTTTGAAAGAGTCTTTTTGTTTTTGGAAAATGACTTTATAGGGATGTAGTAATACAAAAATAAGGAAAGTTTTAAAGTAAAGCCTCACCGCATAATTCATCGAAAATTGTAATTCAAGCATTGAAAAACCTTTACATCAATCATTTTGGTTTGAAAATTGTGGTTGTGAAAAAAAATTTAGATTTCAAGCTCTAAAAATAATGTATATTATAATAAATTATGGAAATAATCCATTTCATCCTTAAAATAATTGTTCATAGATCTGCAAGAATTGTACATTTTTTTAGTTTCAAATTTCATTGTTGGTGTTGAAATTGATTTCAGAGCCCAGGCTTTAATAGAAGGAAACAATTTATATAAGGATGCTACCTTATAATGTAGAACTATAGATGCCCCCAAAAAATCCACCGGAAAAGCTAGTCTCGACATCGAGATGTATGACTATGAAAAATAAAAATATTTTAAGTCTCAGAAATAATGCATTTTACATAATATTATCTTCACCGTCCATTTTTTATATTTTTATATGTTTATAGATCTATTTGATTTTAACCATTTTTTAAATTTAAAATTTTATAGTTAGATATAAAAATAGATTTTGAGACAATCCTAAGAACATTTTACATCAAAATTATATACCATGATAAAATTTGAAGGTGCACCTTACCTCTACACCTACGGATGTGTCCGTATGCAAACAACACCCTTAATAGAAACTTCATTCTTTTTTTAGATGAAGTTTTTATAGGGGCCTAGCTTTATGAAAACAAAACAAAGGCTCACTTCGAATCCTCGTTTTGAAAGCACTTTTGAAAACAAAAAACTCCTCGATGGATCTAAATCAATTTCCAACACTGATAATAAAATTCGAAACTAAAAAATGGTATAGATCATGCGGTTCTATGAACACTTAATATAAGGATGAAATGTGTGGTCTAGATAATTACTTACAATATACATAATTTTTAGAGTTTAAAATCCTTACTTTTTTTCACGACTAATATGTTCAAGCCGAAATGATCGATGTAAAGGTTTTCCAATGCTTGAATTGTAATTTTCAAAGAATTAGGAGGTGATGCTTTATTTATTTTGATAAGGCTGCGGCAGTCCTATCAAATCATTTTCTTTTCTTTTCCTTCTTTCTTTTCTTCTTCTTCTTCTTTCCTTTTTTTTTTTTTTTTTTTTTTTTTTTTTTTTTGCAAATTTTTGTGAGAATGAAGTTGTGATGTTTAACTAAGGTTCAATTGGATGGTTGAAGGTTATTTATATAAAAATATCACAAGTGAGCCACCGACAGTATGATCTAGATCATATGTATCTAAGTATTTAATTTTAAATTTTTTCAATAAATTATATAAATATAAAATTGGTACGTGTCATCATCTCAGTAGGGGTCACCAAAAACATATATTTAACTATTATTTCCAAAAAATAAAATGACCAAAATACCTCTAAATTTTTTAGGGGTATTTTAGTCATTTTATGTTTTAGAAATATTTTCTTATACTTTTTTGCATATGTGAGTTTAAAAGAGGAATGGATGCCCCAAATTCGGTGTCAAAAAGTTTTGTTTAAAAAAATTAAAAATAAAACAATATATAGGTGTAACATTGTGATCGGGCTGTCTCAACTATCTCTAACGACTGGGAGATGGGGGATGTAGGAAAATACCTATAGTAGGGAAGTATAAAAGTTTTCCCTTAGGCCTAAAATGTTCAATTTTTGAAGTTTTGAATATCCTTTGTGCTGTACTATATCTTTCAAACTTAAAATAAAGGTGTGGTTTGTATAAGGCGCACCTCCAAAATTTT